CTTTCCAAGCCAGTTTATTACCTGAGTATAACAAAGCTACGGACCCATGCCAAGGAGAAGTGCTTCATCAATGACCATGAAGGGTTTACCACCATGGTGAATTTCTATCATGACCTGGGGATAATTATCAAGCACCGTAGCACAGTCATCTTGAGTACCCAGTGGCTGATAGACTTGTTCGGGCAGCTGATCACTATTCCAGATTTTGAGAAAATTGTAAGATATCCATTATAAACTTGAATTTAAACTATGGCAATGGTTGCAGAAGTATTTCCGGTCGTCGCTTCCCTCCACTTTTTAGGTGGAGAGAAGCGTCGACCCGAAATACGGCCACATTCGCTGGCTATATCTATTGGTAACCCGTGCTGAGATCATGGGTTCAACAAAATCCCATCCATGATGAGGACGTTCGTGTGATCAGATGATCAGAATAATCTACCTTTAAAGGTGTGCAATGGAAGTAAGTAGAAGCAATTGTGAAATCAATGTCAACATAATAGGCACCCGTCATCGTCAAAATTCCGCTATGAGTAATTAAAGATTGTTTCACCAAAAGCTTCCCCTCTTAGACGTCTTTATACCGCATCACTTGGTGTCCACTAAGAATAAGAGCTGCTTATAACCAATTTACCTGCAATTATCCTCAAATGTAGTCCTAAAATAATCTCTCAAAACAAAACAGAGTGGAAAGTAATTGATACGTCTGCTGAAACTAGCAACTCTGTGTCGACCAATCAGAACGCACTGCCAGGTTCTGGAAGTGAAATTTGGACTGTAAGAATTTTCCGGTGAGTAAACCAGATGGAGGATGCTGGCATTAACGTGGCGATTTAACGAGCATTTTAAAGATATCAAATTTGAGGTCTGCTTAGTTTTTACTTTAAATGTTAAATAGCTTATTTCTTTTAGTAAACTTACTAAAAATTTAACACTTTAGTAGTGTAAAATGATCCTACAAGAAAGCTGTCTTGAAACTTTTTGTGATCTTGTTATTGTCTCTTAGGTCCCTAAGTTTGCAAAGCACTGGAAGAAAGTCGAAGAAAGCGGTGTTCTCAGCATGGAATTGCTTGATCATGTCTTTTCCAAATTTCTTCTGAAGGGTGTTGCCAGGAAAGACATTCTTGATTTGATGGTACAATTTGGATTGATTGCAAAATTTTCATCTTCAAAGACAGGTGAAAAGTATTTTGTTCCATCTCAACTCAAAGCGTCACCTGATTCCCTTTGTTCTATGGCGTCCTCAAGGCTGGACCCTTGCCCCCTGTTTGTTTACTTTGTCAGCGGTTCTGTCCCCCATGGTCTGTTCACACGGCTTGTTTCTCGATCTGTCCGTTGGTGTTCTGAAACTGGTCCATCTCAGCCCCCTACCCTGTACCAAAATGGAGCGTGGTTTGTTATTGGGAAGCAAACTTTTCATGATTTTGTTCTTATTTGTATGAAGCAGTTTATTAAGTTTTTTATCAAGCAAAGAAACCAACCTCACCAGATCTCAGTAGATGACACAAGTGAGGTGGCGGTGCAGGTTCGTAAGTTTGTGGAGGCAACTTTGCAAGTTTTGTCACGTGATCTCTATAAAGGTGGATTGCAGTATCAAATTCGGGTCGCCTGTCCGTATTGTCAGCGGGAAAAGTGTTCAAGCCATAATCAGATTGCATGTTCTCATGAAGATTGTCTTCACCTCCTTGAGTTAAGACAAGGCGATCCTCTGATTTGCAAGAAGAAACCTGCAGAGGAGGTGCTCACGGTTACGGGACAAGAGCAGTGGTTCTCACAAATAGAAAGTAAGGTAGGTAGTAGTGAAATGCTATCTCTAGCAGTGCTGTTAACATATTACATATCAATCGAATACACATACTACTTAAAATTGTGTCTACATAAAGAGTAGCTACAGTGACTGTAGCCATATATTTAAACTAAAGAGGCTTCAATAAAGTCCTGGGATGTGCTTTGTTATAAGGTTATAGTATGAGGTTTAACGTATGCCTTTATTTATCCTACCACGAGCTCCACTGGAGTGTAAGAGAAGGCTTTGTTGCTATCAACTTAGCGAACATTGGTACTTAAAATCAAGTAAGTTGATAAGGTCAATTGGCTACCATGTATTAATAATTGTTTTTGGCCTGTAGGCAAAGCAGTTGGTATATAACTTTTTCTCAAGGTCTTTGTAAATGTGCTGTTTTGCTTTGCGGTTGAGCAATAAGTTTGTAGCATCTACCGTTTCGATAAAATGTTTTGCAAACTTTCATTCAAAAAGGTAGAACCCCCCAGATATAAAATTTTTATTTTAAAGTATCCAATTTTGGTTGCTATGCAGGAAGCGTGTACTCCATCATCATCAACTGATGCCGATCAAGCTGGTCCAGAGTGTCTGGTACTGAAAGTTACCCTTCTCGCGAATGAGTGGGGGTCGTCCAAGGGTGGCTTGTCAACAATAAACAGAACTCTTGCCATACATTTGGCAAAAGACGCAAACGTAGAAGTGACCATTCTTGTACCTGAA